AGCTGGGGCACAGGTTTCGGTGTTTCGCATACAATTAGATCTTTGATATCGGTTGCCTTGAATATGATATACTCATAAACGTCGTCACGCGCTGCTACCGGATTTGATGTCGGCCGATCTTCTGTACCAAATGAACGCACTACAAGAAAAAAAAAAAACATTTTGGCTTATGATTCCATTTTAAATGCATTCAGGCTTAAGAAACTTGTCCAGGGGAAAAGTATACGTGGATTTAGGGGTATTTATGTGGATTTTAATAAAAGACGTGGCAGCGCAATCTTATTCTATTTCGCAGCAAAACGTCGTCACGCGCTGCTACTGGATTTGACGTTAGTCGAACTTGGATTTGACGTCAGTCAGATGATGAAACCTACAGTTTAACGCCCGTCAAATGTCCGTTTCCATCCAAACTAACATCGAAAGACGGAGCCATCGAGAGTTTTGCCAGAAGGTGACTGTCTCTTAGCTCTTGCTGCCACTAATACTAACCACTTCCAAGTCCCCGTCTTTTGTAGAGAGCGAATACAGGAAAAACCAACCCTTTGGCAGGAACCCATCTACTGGCAGCTTAATTCGAGTCCGAAAACTATTAACTTCTACACTTCTGCAGCTAATCGCCGCAAAGCAAAGCATTAGGGAAGGACAGATAAGAAAGGCAGAAAGTCAGGTCAAATAAATGGCCGCAAAATGAGCCACAAGCAGTATTTATTCCAAAGGAACGAGGGACAGAAGGGGAAAAAACGCCAGGATCCGAAAAGAATAACTCCTGAATGATATATTTTCGATCACAGGAACCACAATGAGGCTGTCGGTGATTAAAGATAAGCTATCACCAGAGACCAAGAAAACTATCAAAAACATGTTAATATCTTTTACTGGTGCAACCTAAAGTAGCAGCATTTGATGTCAACACGCAGAGCAAAATCCTGGTATGCACAAAATACTAAGGAAAAATGAAAAAAAGAAATGCTTGGAACCTTTTGCAAGAGCGATTGTTGATTCATTGGTATCGACTGTATAAAGGATGCCCTCGTAGCGTATGTCCAATTTTGAAATTAGGCTTATTTTGCTCCCGATATAGGGAGTTTGCTGCGTCATTACTGTGTACCGTGCTGCCCAGTTTTACTCCCGCACTCAGTTGTCAGATAAAACTAAACCATATAATATTTCACCCTGAAAAAAATCAAAAATTATGGTAAATAACAATCAAGTAACAATTACGCGATAAAACTTTCCGATCTGCCAGACAATGAAACCAAAAAAACGCCATGCTACAGCAGCAACAGAAGCAGCAACAGCAGCAATAGCAGCTTGGGAAAGTGTCTCTCGGCGAACAGTTTTCTAATGATCAATCCTGGAACGATAAAAAGGTTTTTTAAAAAAGCGGGTGGCGAGTCTCGAAAAACCGAAGCAAAAATGTTTCGCATCGAAAAGATCTTAGAAAACAAGCAAAACGCTTAGCTCCCCTTAAAGACTTGTGAAGATTGGGACAAGGCTACACAGCCCAGTGCAGGCTTAGAAGCACAACAGCAAAGATGTGGGGTACCATGCGATTCTGGAAAACCAGCGGCGAAAATACACGATTCCAAGAAGGTCTGGAAAAGTCTTAGCAAAAGTGTGTGATTACATAGGTGCATGTAAAGTAAACTTTAAAAGTGCTCGATCCGAGGACGTCCTGGATAATCAACGCCATAAGTACCTAGTTTCACAAGAATATGGGCGAAGAGACTTAGCAAAACTGCGTGGCCCCATGCGGGCCTGGAAAGGGCGCAGCGAGTGATGCGCAGTGCCACGATTTTCCATATGAACAACAAACATTCTGAAAAAATTTCAGCTACTGTTTTCCGACAAGTTTTCGAGTTAGCACATTGCCAACTACGACCTTTGACTACGACCAAACGTGGTATCACCCTTCCAATCGAAAACCAGGACCGCCCCCTTTCAGGCCAGTGTGGGAATACGCACACTTGCCTGAAAGGGGGCGGTCCTGGTTTTCGATTGGAAGGGCGGTACCACCAAGCGTCAGAGGTCGCAGTTGGCACTGTGCTAATTCGAAAGCTAGTCGAAAAACAGTAGCTGAAATTTTGTTAGAGTGTTTGTTGCTCATATGGAAAAATCATACACCGAAAATAAGAGTTTCGATTTGCACTTGCGCTACGACTTAGTACACTTTAAAGATATTTGCTTTACATCGTAGCGCAAGTGCAAACTGGGCCTAGAAGGAGGGAGGTAAGAGTGTGTTATTCTACAGAGATCTGGAAAGACCCAGACCCTAGGCGAGTCTGGGAGGTCAGCGTGAGAGGAGTTCGTGGTCCCATGACAATTCGAGACGATGAGTTGAGGATGCCGAGCGGGTTGTGCGTGTGCGAGATGGACGATACGCGGCTGGGTAAGTTGGTATTGATGGTGGTAAGTGAGCTCGCCATGGCCTCCGCAGCAATATCGGCAACAACAGCGGTAGTCAGGAAGATCACAGAGGGAGAAGTCCGAGAGGAGCGCGCCATCACCACAATCGATCCGGGGCCGCGACAGCGTCATCCGAGCATCATCTCAATGCCGCAAACGCACATCTCGGAATGCATGCCCTGATGATCTACAGCTAAAAGAGAAGTACCAGCGCATGCGATTAACATTTTCGCGATCCGCCGGGAGATTTACGGGCATAGGCGGATCCAGGACGAACTCCTGGGAGGGCGAGAGGGGAGGGGAGGCAATGGGGGGTCGGGCCCCCTCTCCCGCGATCCCTTGGACCCGCCTAAGTTTACGGGGAGCACAAAGACGTACGACGAAAAACAGCGATGCGAGTTTGACCCAAGAGTGTAATTTCCTTACGGACTCTGGACGCCACGTCTCAGGCCTTCCCAGCACAGACAGGTCCCCTTCAACGCTACAGAAACAAAATTTTTTGAGGAGAGCCAGAATTACGCAAACCACTCAACTTCAAAAGTCAAAGATCATTACTGAAACTCGATTTGGCCAGGTTCGGGGAAACAACTTGCAACGACTAGGTGAAAGGTAGGGGGGTCAGTGTGGCCGGACATGGGGAAACAATTTGTGATGACTGAGGCAGGGGGAGAAAAAAGAGGGTACGGGGGTAAAAGGGTACGTGTATTTAGGCCTCATAGAATCGGGAAAATTGATTGGAAAGGAGCTGAGATCTTGCTTGGAAGTAGCAACTGAATGTGGGGCTTATGCGGGGA